CACACAGAGATTAAGAAGTGTCATTCAGTCCATATATCATTATCCAGTATATCTATCCAGTTATCAAGTCCATTAACAGTAAATACAATGTCCTTATCTGCTTGTAAATCTTCTCCTCCCGATACCTTTCTCTCAAAGACAACGCTGAATCCTCAGCTCACTAGGCAAACAGTCCTTGTGTTCAGTTGAAATGGTATCTGGCACAGTAGCCATCCAGAGTAAGCAGATAGACGTTCCAAAACAGCAGGCAGCAGACCAGGAACAGAACCAGGTGCATCCAGAAGCCGCGTCTATTACGTTTCCCTTCCTACCTTTATTACTGCCTGCAACCGCACCCACAATGACATTGCAGTTTCTTGTGCTTAAAGCTACAAGACACTTAATCCTAGGTTTACATATTTATTCAACCCAAACCTGGTTGGTGTATCCATATACCCAACAAGATGGCAATAACATAACTATCTGTCCCAGGAGAAACTCTCACCCAAGGAACAGCCAACAAACTAAACATTCAGAGAGAAGTATTGAAGTTGGAGTTGAAGTTGAAGTATTGCACTGGCTTAGGAGGGTTTTCCCTTCTATCGCTACAAACATTATTGCACCTGAGGAGGCTTGCATTTCAGCCTCCTTTCTGAAACCTAGGGAGTATATACATTCTTAGGATCTTTGTTCTGTCCATATCAAGTGCTTCAATATCTTGAACAGTAAAACTATATGGAAAAACTTCTGTTTCTCAAATGAATGATGCAGTAGGGTAAAGGTAAAGGTTCCGGGATGATGCTCATCTCTGTTTCTAAGCCAAAGAGCTGTCCAAAGACATCTCTGTGGTCATGTGGCCAGCCTGACTAAATGCCAAAGGCGCACAGAGCATTGATACCTTCCCACCAAAGGGTTCCCTATTTTTTTACTTGCATTTTTTACATGCTTTTGAACTGCTAGGTTGGCAGAAGCTGGGACAAGTAACGGCAGCTCACTCGGTTATGAGGCGCGAGGGATTTGAACCGCTGAACTGCCAACCATCTGATCAACAAGCTCAGTGCCTTAGCCACTGAGCCACCGTGTCCCATACTGATGCAGTACACATTCCCAATTTATTTCCAGAATAAATTAGAAATAAACATTTAATTGTAAGGTTTTAAAAGGGATTTTTCCTAGATCTATATTCTAGACTCAGATCTAGCCACTTACATATGGAATTTTTAACCATTCCCAAAACACTGGCACACACCCATATAATACTATTTTGCTATGGATCATCTGGAGTACCATTTTCAACCATTCTTTGTTCTAGTGTCAAATACTAGAATAGTAGATCCTAGGATCCATCTCAATAAATGATCTGCCTCTTTCTCCTTCTCTAGTATATCTTCTCACATAAAGCAAACCAATGAGCTTATCGTTACCAATGGATTACGACCTTTTCCTGTCCTCCTATGGCAGAGGAACTTTATTGAACTTACCGTAGGCAATACAAGATGTAATACAAGCCTCTTTATTCCTGCTCATTCAATCCACTCACCAGGGGAAAGTCTTCATTCCCAAAGATAGCTATGTAGGCCATTGTTTCCTGGTGGCCTTTTTCCTTGACTTCCAAAGCTAATGGGATTTCAACTGTAGCATGAGGTGGAATAATACCACAAGGCGCTGGACTTGAATACAAGATGGTGGGAGAGTTCTTATATTCCTAGGTGGAGATAAAGCAGTAAGAATTACTTGCTTGAAGTATTTCTGTTTCTATGCCATCACCATCTGTCTTCCCCAATAAAATCCATGTCTTTTCTTTATGTATTTTATCATTCATGATAGAGCTCTGAAAATTTATTTCAGCAAACTTTTCAGCAGTTGTTCTCAATAGCATAAAAGCAACAAAACAAGAACTTATCCAAACATCCTTAAATAAAATGTAAACAAGAGTACAGTTCAAGAAATGAGCTGGGCTAAAACACTTTTCTCCTCTTTTCTATAGCAGGTTGTTAAATCCACCTTGCTCCTACGGATGTTGCAGTTTCATCCTCCTGTACAAGACCATCAATATGAAGGAAAAGTCCCCTCCAGAAGCATTCATATAAGGAGAGAGAAAAGTCAAAAATCCAACCAACCTGGGAAAGAACACCATAGCACCCTGGAAGGTCAGCTTCATTAACAAGTTTTGCCACTTGTTGATACTGAAAATTCAGGAAACAACGTCCAAAATTCACAGTGGTGCTAGCCACATGTAGTGGAGGTGTGAGGCATCTAGTTAATCAGAAAAACAAATCAATAAAAAGATCTTTTAAAAATTCTAATCCACAATGGAGATACAGAGAATAACACATGTATAATTTTGAAAAAGTTTCATCATCTTGTTATTAGTTATCTGAGGATGTAGGTTTCTAAAACTTCACACAGTACATTAAAAGTGAAGCTGCTGGAAGTCTCAAGAGGGCCTTGATATTTCCCCAGTAGTTCAGGTTTTTGAGGCTTGAGGGCCATATTTCACAGAAAATCAGACTTGGATCTGGAAATCCCAGCTAGAGGTGTGTCAAGCATGTTCGCAACGCTCCGTCACTTTCCTCAGGCTCCAGTCCTTGTCAGCACCATGTGACCTGCCTCGTTTATGACAAGCCAGTGTGTTTCTCTAGAATTCCCTTTGCTATTTCTCAATCAGATTTCAAAATGCCCTACCAATCTCCAGAAAAAGTGAGCAAAATGAACTTATAAGATAGCTGCTGCATAACTAACATGCTCACACAAGTGAGTATCACCAAAGGAGACTGCTGTAAACCTATAATGATCCATCTTCAATTGTAAAGGACAAGCAATCAAGGAATATGCTGCTGCAGACTAACACTTAGTCCAATGACCAGGAAGGCCTTGGAAAAGATAGTCAAATGATATGATATGTCTACAACTACAAAGTCTGTGACACTCTATGGAAGTGAAAGTCATATTTTGAAGAAGTGGGACAAAAAGAATATTGATGCTCTTGAACTCTGGGTTTGGAGAAGACTCCTGAGAATACCATAAACAGCCAAGAAAACAAATGAACAAACAAGCAAACAGTTTTGAACAAATCAAACCAGTGTCCTCATTTAAGGCAAGTTATCCTACTTCAAATATATTATGTGAAAGCCATTTACTCTGGACAAGGTTCTAAGGCTGGGAAAGGAGGAAGGAAACAGAAAAGGAGGATGACCTGCAGCTGGGGGGAATAATCAGTTATAGCAATGATGAGTGCACAGAAGAACAGAACAGAGTAAAATGGTTGGAAGGGACTTTGGAAGTCTTCCAGTCCAACCTCCTGCTCAAACAGGAGAATCTATATTATTCTATATTGAGCTGTGGTGGTGCAGTGGTTAGAATGCAGAACTGCAGGCTAACTTACTGCTCACTCCAGAAGTTCAATCCTGACAGACTCATGGTTGACTCAGCCTTCCATCATTCCCAGATCAGTAAAATGAGGAACCAGATGGTTGGTGGCCATATGCTAACTCTGTAAACCACTTAGAGAGGGCTGTAAAGCACTGTGAAGCAGTATATAAGTCTAAGGGCTATTACTATTCTGTAGAAATGGTTGTGCAATCTCTTCTTACAAAGCTCCACAGATGGAGCGCCCACAACTTCTCGAGGTAAGCTAATCCATTGATAAATTTTTCTCACTGTCAGAAAGTTTCTCTTTAGTTCTAGGTTGGCTCTCTCGATTGGCACCATTGGAAGACCTGAAAGACTTGATCATGGACAGACCCCCCTGGAGAAAATACATCTATGTGATCACTAATAGTCAACAACCACTTGATGGTATGTAATCAATCAAAATTCAGTATCTTAATCCTTGTGTCACATTTGAAAAGTCATGTGAACATACAATCAAATTATTACAACTACAGTTCTAATTGTAACATTTGAGAATGACATTCTATTTAATTGGACTAAAATGCTGACAACTAATTCCTGACTTCCTGTCTCTGGAACTTCTCTGGAGTTACTTTCCCCCTCCTTTGCTGGTACTTTGCTTGTGTGGAGTGACCTTTCAAAGTTACAATGGCACTGAAAAAAGTGGCTTATGACCATTTTTCACATTTACGACTGTTGCAGCATCCCCACAGTCATGAGAGGCCAGGAGAGGAGATGCATGCCTCAGTGTGAGTGATACTGAGTTGGCCACACCCAGCCAATAACATGAACACCAAGCCATGTCCACCCAGTTACATGACTACCAAGCCACACCCACCAACTAAGCCATGCCCACAGAACCAGTTGTTAAAAATTTTGAATCCCACCCCCGGCTGAGTGGTTCGTAGACTGGTCAGATCAACACGGAGAATTAGGTGCAGCTGGCTTGGAGCCAATGACTTGAGGTGGCTGAGTGGGCGTGGCCAGGTTGACACAACCACATAGATGTGGTCAGGTGGGGGGCACCTGGTGGGTGTGGCCAGGTGGCCACACAACATCCAGTTGGGCCATATCATATCTATTCTGGATCATGATAAGTGTCTATTTGAGTAGAAGGTATATTGTTTAGTTTTAGCATTTCTTTCTCTCCATGTATCTTTTAAATTTATTTCATCTACCTTATTAAAAAAAAGATTTAGGGAGAGTCTTTCTGTTTTGCTTTATTGTTTTCTGTGCTATATAGTCCAGTTTGTTGTCTACAAATCCATTAAAATCTCCCATCATAACTATATTAGCATAGTCCAGTTCGATTATTTTGATATGTAATTTTTTATAAAATTCTTCTTGTTTATCATTTGGGGCATAGATTGCAATCAGGAGTGTTATCCATTATCCATAATCATATTATTATCCATTATTTCCACCATTAGTATTCTTCCATCGTCATCAGTATAAATCAATTTCGCTGGAATAGTCTCTTTAATATATAAAACCACTCCTCTTTTCTTGCATTGTGTCAAGGAGGTAAATATTTTCCCTAGTTTTGGCTGTATCAACAATTGTTCATATTGCTTTATAATATGTACTTCTTGTAGGCAGATTATATCAAATTTTAATTTCTCTAATTTATGGAAAGTTTTCCTTCTTTTAATGGCTGAATTAAGTCCATTTATATTAATTGTAATCAATTTTTTCTCTTCCTTGGTTATATTTTATAATTAGGATTGGCAGCTCTTGTGGATCTTGGTTCACGTTGACCTTTGGCTTCCTCCTTTCCACCTACTGCACCTTCCTCTTTTTCAGTCATCATTTGGCAGTCCTCTTGGAATTCAATTAGTGAAATTTCTTTTTCTGCCTCTTTCTCTTTCCCTCTGAAAAATTCTGTATAAAATTATTCAGCTTTCTCAATTGAATCAATTCTGTATCTCTTGCCATGTGAACATTAAACCTTCTGGAATCAGCCATCTATAATTCACCTCTTTTTTAAGTACGAATTTGGTCAAGAATCAGTATTCTCTCCTCATCTCTCTCACTCTTCTGGGTACTTGTTTCAAAACCACAATCTCCTTATCTTTATATTTCAATGTTTTCTCTCTTGCCACTTGCAATATTTGCGTTTTAATGGCTTTCTTTGTAAATCTGATGTGAATTTCTCTTGGTAGGCTATTTCTCATTGCGTACCTTGTGAAGACTCGATAAACCTCATCTATTCCATCCATCATCTTCTCATCCGTTATTTCCAAAGCTTCAGCCAATATTTCTATCAATATCTCAGCTAGATTTTGTCCTTTTTCTTCCTCTATGTTTTGGAATCTGAGATAAAATTTTGATCTGTCCATCTCCCATCTCAGCATACCATTTTTATCTTGTTCAACCACAGTTAATCTGGAATCAATGTCTCCAATCTTCTTATCTCTTTCTTTATCTTCTTCTTCAATTTTTAGTAGTCTCTCATCATACTTCATCATCATTTGTTGGATGTTCTCGACTTTTTCATCGGTTTTCCCTGCTCTTTGTTCGATGTTCTCTATTCTCTTTTCAGTATTCTCTGATCTTGTTTGAATGTTTTGAATTCCTTGCATAATCATCTGCACTTTTTCTTTTTCTTGTTCTTTCTTTTGCCTTAACATTGTCTGTATTAAACGTTGTCCTCCAGATGGTAGAGAGGAGGAAGTAGAAGTTGAAGAACCGGTAGCTGTTAATTTCCTACTCATTTCAAACAATTCAAAATCTTCAGGTTCTTCTAGACCTTAATCCGATTGTAAAGTAACCAATTGCGATTCCAAATAAAAATAGTAGGAAAAGAGAAGCCAAATAGTAATAATAATAAAAAAAGAAAAAAGAATTTCTTCAGGTTCTTGTATACCTTAATCCAATCAATTAGTTAAATAACAATGCAAATTCAAAAATGAAGGAAAAAACCATAAACATACACAAAGGAGAAAAAGTTGTAAAATCTTAAAAAAGACGGGAAAGTGAAGAATAAAAAGCTTTTAAAAAAGGAAAAATTCTTCAGGTTCTTCAACACCTTAATCCAATTAAGAGGTCTCAAATATAAAAGACTGCATAAGAGAAAAAGAAAAAAAAAGCCAGGAAGATAAAAAGAAAAAAAAAGCCAGGAAGATAAAAAGAAAAAAAAAGCCAGAAAGATAAAAAGAAAAAAAAAGCCATGAAGATAAAAAGAAAGAAAAAACCAGTATTGGGGGTAGATGGAAAAACAAAATACCAGAAAATCAAATAGAGAAAAAGAAAAAAAAGGCTACTCCCTTAAAAAGAAAAGGAAGGGAATCATTAATACTAAAACTTTTCTTTTAAAATAAAAAACAAATGTAAAAAATTAACTTCCAAAGACAAGCATAAAGAAAAAACAAGCAAAGACAAGTTCCAAAGAACTAAAAGTCCAAATAGCTATTTCAAAAAGTAAACTGTTGAAGAGGGGTAGCACAGCTTAAAAAAAATCAAGAAAACACACTGCACTTTGTTTAGTTATACAGTTATTATAACACTCTTCTCCAGAAACTTATCACCTTTTCTTTTTCTATAATCTTCAGCACCAGACTCCAGCTGTTGATAGAAACCCAGAAAAGCACCTGCAATAATACTCTCCCATGCTCTTCCCTCTATCTTATCAAATAGCAATGTCCTTGAAAGAAAGTCTCAATTCTTTCTTTCTCAGCTTTGTCTGGTCACAAGAGAAATAGAATATTTCCAAGCCTCTAGTTGGCAGTGTTACAAAGTTTCTTTGCTTTCACTTTCCCCCTCCTTTTCCAAGCAAAATGCAATAAGAATTAATAATAATAATAAAAAGATATTTTTAAAAAAGAAATAACTAAATGGGAGTCTCTAGCCTAAAATAGTTACAAAATCAAAAAGGAGAAAAAAATAGATGAAAAAGAAAAAACCACTCCAGTTTCAAAATATAAGATCATGTATAGAAAATCCAGCAATGAGAAAAAAAACATTACTTTGACATTCCTGTTTAAAATCGCCGCTTAATCACTTCTGTCAAAACTTTTACAGATTCTTTCTTTTCCTTAGGGTGTTTTTTCAGATCTTAGAATAAAGAAAAAATTCTCACCAAACCGGCACACTCTCTCTTTCTGTTCTCTTCCGTTTCGGAGCTGTCCCAACTTCATCAGCATTAATGGGTGCCTCTTTGCCACTGGCAAGAAGAGCTTCTCCTGGATCTACCAGGGACTTTGTGGCATCCCTGGGATCGACAGGATGCGCTCTTCATTTTCACCGTCTCTTCGGGACGGTTTAGATCCGATAGGATCATCCAGGAGCAAAGATATCGGCAGCGATCTCAGACCTCCAAGAGCACATGCCGTATCATCGCGATGCCATCTCCACCCCTCAGTAAAATATGATCATTTTCCAAAGCATGAATGAATAAAAGTATAGTCAAATGATTGATTAATAATGATACCAATGTATTTAATATTGGATTGAAAATATGAGACCATATACAATCTAATTGTAATTGAAGACTACTAAATGGAAGCACAAAACAATTTGTAAACCAACCGGCACACTGTATGTACGTACAAGGAAGATGGCCTGATGTTTTTATGTCTTGTTTGTTTATGTGTTTTAAAAACTAATAAAAAATTTATAAAAAACAAACAAACATCCAGCTGGGCAACTGGATGTGGAGCCAACTCGGTGCCCAGCCAGAACAAAAATCACCTGGAGATGTGCTGGCAAACGGGAAGTAGGGTAGTGGCAAAATTTGAACGGCAAGGGATGGATTTCTCCCCACCCCCATTTGCAGAAACACTCCATTTTTCTCTCTCTTTTCTGACAAGAGGTTTCCCTGCAAAGTTTGGTGTCTGGTTCACAACATGGAGCATGTGAGGATGATGAGTACTCACTGTAATTTCTACATTTCTTTAGAGTTATAAATCCTCACAAAGCACATCCGTTTGCAACAATCTCACTGAATCAGGGAAGGGATTCATCATTGGTCAAATCCACAAAAATGGGGAGTGGGGGAAATGGAGGAGAAGGAGGAGATAAACAGAAGGAGGGGAGAGTGGATATTTTAGATTTTCAGTGCAGTTTGACGTAGTTCTTGCTATGACTCCCTCTATCCCCACAAATGCTAACAATTTGATTTGGGATGCCACCATCTATCTCTATGTTCTGATATTCTTTTTCATATGGTAAACTAGTTTTATAGTTATATACCATGTGTTATGCTTTATCCAGGTACTAAATTTTTAGATTAACACAATGCATGTAATCAAAGCTAATATTTTTCTCTGGTTCTTATTCCAGCCATTTATTTCTCTTGAAATATTCTGCTTCCACATGTAGTGTTGAGAAAGTCACAGTGAATAGAAGATGTACCAGTTTGTTTTCTTTGGTTTCCTGATTTTATTAGTCTATGTCTTCCTTATCAGTTTTCCCCACAATTAATGTCATAAACAATCCCAACTAAATGTAGAATTCTGGTTTCTTTGTTCGTTGGTCTACATTCTGATATTCTTTTTTTTAAAATATGAACTAGGCAAATGTCCCTTTTATTTATGGGTATGCACATCATTCCTTTGGATCTATTAGGAAAGAGATCCTTATCTGGCCATCCTGCCAAGATTACAAGCAAAGGTAGCATAAGAACATAAACCATAAGAGTATGAAAAACCACAATGATAGCCCAAGCCTTGTCTCATCCTGCATTCTAAGAGACTAGACAATCACTTGTCTGAAATGATATAAGGTCTCCTCAGACAGGAGAAAGAAAAATTGAGTGTTTCTGCAAATAGTGGGAGGGGGGAGATAAATAAACCCAGCCACTGTTCTTCCCTGCCAAAGGGAAGGAAACCTCTCATTGGAAAGGAGAAAGAAAAATGGAGCATTTCTGCAAACGGGTGTGTGTGCGTGTGCGTGTGGGGTGGGGGAATCCACCTCTTGGCTTTCAAACTTGGCCACTTCCCTGCTTCCCATTGGCCAGCATGTCTCTGGGTGATTTTTGTTCCGGTAGTGTTATGAGTTGCTCCACATCCACATCCAGAACAAATTGCACTGGGCAATTTGTTCTGCATCCACCCGGCCACACCCATATGGTTTGGTCCACCTGGCACACCTACCTAGTCACCCCAAGCCAGCTGCATCTAATCCTCCGTGTTAACCTGGCCACAGCCAGCCAGCCACACCCACCTGGCTGCAATGAGTCGTCCCATTCCCTATTCACTCCATCCCCTTCTATGTATCTTGTTTAGAAAGGAGACAAAGACTGGAATCCCCACAGAGGCCGCAGCATTGCAGAAATTATATAAAGAGTACCTTGCTGAAATTGGGAGGGCCAGCACATCCTCACCACTACCCTTGATGTCCACTACCAGGGCAGTTTCATAAGTCTTCACTGTGTTTGAACATAAGGTCACCTGCAGTTGAAAAGGAAAACAGGGATTCTCAAGTTGCTGAGAGATTATTGCCATCCTAGCTTGGATATTTGCTATTACATTTTATTTCTGTGCTACAGCTCTTTCTTACTTATGGCCACAATGCACAACAGGGACCAGGAAATTTGCTGTTAAGGTGATTAGCCATTGTTATTCAGCTGTGTGTCCTGTCACATCTGTACTACGGTAAAAGAATAACAGGTTTGAAAGGACCAAGGAGGTCTTCTAGTCCAACCCCCACTTCTAGCAGGAATCCCTATACCATTTCAGGTTGTCCAATCTCTTCTTTAAAATGTCCAGCGTTGGAGCACCCACAACTTCTAGAGGCAAGTTGTTCCGCTGATTAATTATTCTAACTTCATTAATTGTTCATGTGAGGTACCACACTCAATTATATGAGCTTTTTTGCTGCATTCAAGCCTATCCAAGCCTGTTTTTGTTGGGACTGCAAGCAAGCTTTCTTTCTTTTGAAATAGAGCCTGGTCCTACATTGATCGCCATGGGGATGAGTTCCATGATGAGAGAGAAATTGTCTCCATCCTGGGAGAAAACCTGCTAGAGGAAGCATTGGAATGGTTTACCCAACTCCATGACCATGATTTTGAATTTTCCTTCTAAGCCAAAACCTAACCAATTCTAAGAAACTGAGTGACATGGAGCGTAGGTGGACAGATTGGGAGAAGGAGGCTTTTCCTTTGTAATGGACCCTCTTGTCCTAGAGGCATTTTTTGGAAGGCACTAAGGAGCCATTCGAGGTGTGGACTGATCACAAAAACCTCGAGGCTCTAAAAACTCCTCGAAAACTCCCCCAAACAAGTTCACTGGGCTCAATACTTTAAGACAGGGGTCCCCAACCACCGGGCCGCAGACCTGTACCGGTCTGTGGATCATTTGGTACCGGGCCGCAAAGAAAATAAAAATAAAATAAAAATGGCGGCTTTCTTCGCCTTCGGTGAATGCTGCTGGGATCAGGGATCAAGGACACAAATGAAAGAAGGGGAGGGAGGAAGCAACCAAAGCCCGTCCTGCTCTCCGGCTCAGCGGCTCCGGTTTCCTCCCGCCTCGTTCCTCTCTCAGTCGCTCTCTCGCTCCTCCACCAATCCAGGAAGAAACTGCTTCAAAGAAGCCGGCAGGGTGGCTTTTCCTGTCGGCACAGCTCCTCCGAAGTGCCTGTTCACCCCCACCCCGCCGCCCGCGGTTCAATCCAGTGCTCCGTTCTGCCTGCCTGCCTGCCTGCCTTCGTTTCTGGTTGTTTCGGAGCAGCTTTGGCTGAGAATAATAACTATTCGCCTCTTTTACTTAGCCAAAGCTGCTCCAAAACAACCAGAAACGAAGGCAGGCAGGCAGGCAGAACGGAGCACTGGATTAAACCACGGGCGGCGGGGTGGGGGTCAACGGGCGCTTTGGAGGAGCTGCGCCGACAGGAAAAGCCACCCTGCCAGCTTCTTTGAAGCAGTTTCTTCCTGGGCTGGTGGAGGAGCGAGAGAGTGACTGAGAGAGGAACGAGGCAGACACCTGAGGGATAAGGCTGAGGGAGGCAGGGCTGAGAGGCGGGGCTTCTCAGCCATCCTGCAGGGACTTGAGCCGCAGAGACAGCCACGGGCCGCTGCCGCCCAGCGCTCAGTTTTGAAGGTGCTCCTCAGCCCGGTGCAGTTCCTGAATCTGCAGCTGAAACCCTCCGTTTTAAATGTCCCAATAGAAGAGAATATCTGTCGCTCAGGGTTGCAATGAGGAGGCATTGGTGCTCCCTGAACTTGGTGGTTTGCTGGTAGACGTTTTATTACCCGACTAGGTAACAACATCAGATATTATCTAGTCAGGTAATGAAACGTCTGCAAGCAAACCACCAAACTCGGACTCCTCCCCCTCCCCCCCTCCTTGAAAAAGTGTCTCCCCCCCACCCCCGGTCCTTGAAAAAGTGTTTCTGCGTGAAACTGGTCCCTGGTACAAAAAAGGTTGGGGACCACTGCTTTAAGAGATTCAATTTTAAACTGAAATATATTCCGGGGAGGGGGGGATTTATTGGCCAATGTCTAGAAAACTCCAAATTGACAGTCGCCAAGAGGAAATAGTGCACGCCATGATTTCAGAAGCCCAACCTGCCACCCAAGCAATCACCAGAGCCCAAGCCAAACACCATTCTGAACTCCCTGAGAATAAACCAACAGCTGATTTGAAAGCAGTACTTTTAAACGATCCATGGTTTGCCGAGAATCAAACTGATTTGACAATGAGTGAAGGACTGGCTTGGAAAGGAAACAAGATTTATGTTCCCAGTACCCTGAGATTGATGGTACTAAAGCGCAGTCATGACTCTCATGGACTGTCATCAACTTGTTCTCCAAGCAAGCCCATTTCACAGCATGTAATGGATTACCTTCTGCCAAAAAACTAGCAAAACTGTTTGTGAAGCATATTTATTGACTTCATGGAGTGCCTTGTCGAGTGATCTCAGATTGAGGCATTCAATTTACTGCTAAACTACCTCAGTTTTCCATCCTTCTTGTAATAGAGCATCTGAACGTGTGAACGTCATGGTGGAACAATATATTAGATCAGGGGTGTCCAACCTTTCACCTTCCCTGGGCCACATTAGAAGATGAAAATTTGGTTTGGGCCGCACATAAAATAAAATAACAGTAACAATACCTGATCATCCAAAAAAACCATAGAAAACATAGTTAACATATTAAATTTATTTGGAAATGAAGTTAGTGAGATGTTTTTATTATTAATTATTTATTAAAAATTATTTATTTTTTATCACGGTTTTTTTATCATGGTTTATTTTCCGGCCAAATTTTGCGGGGTGGGGGGAGAAAGCTCGCCCGCCTCGCGCCTACCTCTCCTGCAAATGGCCCGGCTGGATGAGGCAGGACTGGAAGGCAGAAGCAGCAGCAGCGGCGGGGGCAGAAGCAGCGGCGGGGGCAGTGGCGGCGGGGGCAGAAGCAGCAGTGGTGGCGGGGGCAGAAGTGGAGGCGGCAGGGGCAGAAGCGGCAGCGATGGCAGGGGCAGAAGTGGCAGCGGGGGCAGAAGCGGCGGGGGCAGAAGCGGCGGCGATGGCGGTGGTGGCAACAGCAGGAGGTGGCGCTCTGACAGCACCTGCTTTTTCTGTTGCTCCTTGGCCTGGCGCTCGCCTCGCCCAGCCTCGCGCCTGCTTCTCCTCCTCCTCCTCACTGGCTCTGGCACAAAGGTTGGGGTGGGCACTGGGCCGCATTACAAGGTGACCTGGGCCACATGCGGCCCTTGGGCTGCAGGTTGGACAAGCCTGTATTAGATGTTAAGGAAATTATAAGCAAGAAAACTAGGCAGATCTATTGCTGTTTGCAGAAGTGGCTTATAATAATGCAGTACACAGTAGCACTGACTTGACTCCTTTCCAAATTACTACCGACATGGATTTTGTCCCTATGCCCAAGTTACCTAGAGAACCCCCAACATCCATGTCCTTAATGGATTGGATGGAATCATTAAAGAAAGGTTGGGAAAATACAAAAAAAGCTCTAATGCAGCCTTGTCCAACCTGTGGCCCAAGGGCCGCATGCGGCCCAGGTCACCTTGTAATGCGGCCCAGTGCCCACCCCAACCTTTGTGCCAGAGCCAGTGAGGAGGAGGAGGAGAAGCAGGCGCGAGGCAGGGCGAGGCGAGCGCCAGGCCAAGCAGCAACAGAAAAAGCAGGCGCCGTCAGAGCGCCACCTCCTGCTGTTGCCACCACCGCCATCGCCGCCGCTTCTGCCCCCGCCGCTTCTGCCCCCGCTGCCACTTCTGCCCCTGCCATCGCTGCCGCTTCTGCCCCTGCCGCCTCCACTTCTGCCCCCGCCACCACTGCTGCTTCTGCCCCCGCCGCCACTGCCCCCGCCGCTGCTTCTGCCCCCGCCGCTGCTGCTGCTTCTGCCTTCCAGTCCTGCCTCATCCAGCCGGGCCATTTGCAGGAGAGGTAGGCGCGAGGCGGGCGAGCTTTCTCCCCCCACCCCGCAAAATTTGGCCGGAAAATAAACCATGATAAAAAAACCGTGATAAAAAAACTGTGATAAAAAATAAATAATTTTTAATAAATAATTAATAATAAAAACATCTCACTAACTTCATTTCCAAATAAATTTAATATGTTAACTATGTTTTCTATGGTTTTTTTGGATGATCAGGTATTGTTACTGTTATTTTATTTTATGTGCGGCCCAAACCAAATTTTCATCTTCTAATGTGGCCCAGGGAAGGTGAAAGGTTGGACACCCCTGCTCTAATGGGAGCAGCTGAAGAATATAAAAAACAGGCAGAAAAATATACCCATTAACCCCTTGTTGTGTTTTGTTTATTGTATTTTTCAGGACGTGATTTTTTTTTCTTCGGGGGAGGGCGCCTGTCAGCTTTGTCATATTAGAAAGTCATATTAGCACCAGAAGCTTCCATGCTGCCACATTCTTGAGCATGGGAAGATGGGAGGAGAGATTTCATGGAGTGTATGTGGTTAGACATAATAGCATTCTTCTTTAAAGTCAGGGCCATGTTATTCCTGCACTTGGCTGAGGAGTAGTAGAGGGAATGTGTTAAATATGCATTGCACAACATTTACATGAATTTACATTATATGCAGAGTGGAGTCTGACATTGGTTCAGCCTCTGGCAGGAAGATTGAGTCCCATCAGTGGTTGAAGTGTTGGACAGCACCGGGTATAAAAAGCCGGTGCTGACCATGTTTGTTCACTTTTTGATTCTGGCTTGTAAATAAAGAGTTTCTTGCATTCCTGAGTCCTGCTCCTTCTCATCCGCACCCATTTAACAGAATGTCTCAAGTTGGAACGGATGTTGATTGGGGGATGTGATGGAATGAGGGGTGGAGGGGATGGATTTGTAATTGTTTACTTATCGGAGGAAAACCCAGAACGTTCAGATTCGGGTTTTCCCAGATGTGCCAATATAACTACTCTAATAACAGGAAATTTTGAGAAAATGCCTGTCTCAGAGTTTTTAATTGGAGTTGGATTTTTCTGGAACGCTGACTGTATCCTTACGATTTATATTGACTGTTTCCTAGTATGAATTGATTGCTTATTTGTACCCTATGACTATCATTAAGTGTTGTACCTTATGATTCTTGACGAATTTATCTTTCCTTTTTTTAAGTATACTGAGAGCATATGCACCAACACAAATTCCTTGTGTGTCTAATCACACTTGACCAATAAAGAATTCATTCATTCATTCATGACAAAGGGCCCCAGAGTTGGATAATGTAGATGACTTCCTGCAAGAGCTATCAGTCTGATTCGAGGATTCCTCCCAAGCCCAAGAAGCAGAGGCAGAGATAAAAATGATGAAGCAAAAAGGTCAGCCAGCAAAAGAAATCATCCAAGAATTCCGCTGCCTGGCCAGGAGATTGAGAAATTGGCCGAAACAGATGCTGGTGCATTATTTCAAAGAGTGCCTGGACGAGGAATTGCTAAAAGTATGCCTATGCAGAGCACTGGGAGATCGAATCCTTGAGTGGTACCGGGTGGCCATTGCCATAGACAATGAAATAAGACCACATTGGCGCATCAGGCCAGAAAAACAGCGCAAAGACAACTTGGTCGCCGCACTACCCCATATCAAATACAAGAGTGGCCAACAGGGTCATTGAGCTTCTGAGTATTTGGTGCCAGCTCCTGTGCCCCAAGTGAGAGCACCCACCCCAGCCTAGCTGAAGAAGACTCCCAGAAGGCCGGTCGAAAAAGGAAAATTCATCTGCCAGGCCGTGGAGGTCCCCCTCTCTGGTGCCACAGGATAGGAAGGAACTCTGGTCCTCAATGCGCCAATAATACAAAGTGCAGACAGTGAGGAAGATGACCCAATGGTAAGTGAAGTTATCCGTCCTTTTCTGTTAAAAGTGAGATTAACAGTGCCCAGAACAGGGACCCATGTGGACACAGAGACCATCATAGATGCGGCTACACCCGTTGTCTCATCAGTCCTGCCATGGTAGAAAAATTGGGGATAAACACGAAATCCCTAAAAAGCCCCATCCGATTCAAACAAGTGGATGGGTCACTAATAGGAGGCCACCCAGCCATGCTTGTCACTGAACAGCTAATGGTAGAGATAGGTAGGCACTGGGAGCTGATTCACTTTATAGTAGTACTGAAAATGACTGAATCAGCCATCTTGGGTCCCACCTGGCTAGACAAATGGTGTCCTACGATCATTTGGAAAAGTGGCTATTGGAAACTCAAATTAGCGCTTGGCCCTGAACCACCTGCAATTCCACCCGATGAAGAGGCTAACAGACCGCAAACCTCAGACAATCAGAATGAGGCAACAGATGTGTTATCAGAACAACCCCCTGGAATCCCTTTGATTCTTGGGAATACAGAGACTTAGCATGTTTTTAACAAAGAAGAATGCAATGTACTCCCCCACCCCACCCCCGGCCCTCAGACTGTTCGATAGAGTTTGTGGAAGGGGCAGTTACCTAAACCCAAAATGTATTCCATGACACCCAGAGAATTGAGGGAACCAAGGGAGGACATTGATAACAACCTGGCCAGAGGGTTTATACAGCCAGCAAAATCCAAGATAGATGGATAACCCCCGTATTATTTAAGGAAAAGAAAGGGGGCGGGGGAATGAGGCTCTGCATTGATTTTAAAGAAATTAATACCATGTGCATACACAATAACTACCCTTTACCCTTCATGAAAGATATGCTGGGGCATCTGGCAAAAGGAAAAGGGTTTACTAAACTCAATCTCCAACAGGCATACTACCAAGTGAGGATGAAAGAAGGAAATGAGTGGAAAACTAAATATGAATAAGTTGCCAAGCATATGAATTTTGATCATGTGACCATGGGGATACAGTAATGATCATGTGAAAAATGGTTATAAGTCACTTTTTCAGTACTGTTGTAACTTTAAATGATCACTAAATGAACTATTTTAAGTCGAGGCCTACCCGTATTTAAGTACCATAGTTATTTTGAGCACACAGTAAGCAAATGGTCTTAGGTTGAGAACTACCCGTAGTTTACCTGGAGAAGAAATGTTATATTTGCTGCTTGCTTCATCCAAGACTAGGGATCTTTCAAGAGCAAGGTAAATAATTAACAACTCACTAAGTATTCAGCATTTTCAAGGGCCATTGATTGATTTCAGGAAGTCTTTCCATTGCATTTTAATCTCACAATTAAGTTCTACAAACAACTAGTTGTACTTCAAATTTCAGTTTCAAGGCTTCAGTGACTTTGTACCTCAATATCCAGAAATCCTTGGGGGCGAATGGTACCATAGCTAGGAGAGATGGTAAATTCCTTGGGCTTTGCAGATGCAAACCATGCCTTTCTCCACATTGGCCTTGAGATGTCAGAGGCTTGATCCTGACTCCTAATACTTGGATCTCCATTACCATCTCCTGGGACATGCAGGCTGAAAGTCATGGGCACCAGTGAAGTGTTGCTGAGGCAGCAGGACAGGGTTTGAGGAAAACCTGGAAGCAAGAATGGAGGTTGTAAGTAAGCTGAATTAGGGTTCTGAAAAGGACAAGGCCACCAAAGCAAACCCTCCCACTTTACACAAAGTCAACTTTAGGTCTTGCTAGCTTGTACTCTTTAGGGTAGTGGGATAAAGGGCAGCTTTTAGGAGGAAAAGCTCAAGAATGACAACAGATGGAACCAAGGAAATGAGAGGCAGTGAAGTGTGGTGTTTTGTAAGTTCATCCTAGGCCAAGGAAGCTTATTGGGTGTCTTTGGGCTAGTCATTTTCTTCATAGAAGCACTTCCTGACCGAAGAAGAGTTGAAAGTTTAATAACCATAGGGTATTGGAGGCACACTCAGAATTCCTGGCAAGTCTGCATACAGTCTGCTCTCAGATTCCTACTCTATCTATAGCTCTGCCCAATAATACCAATAATGACCCCCACCCACACCTCCCGACCATCACTGCCATATTGCATCAAAACTCTGCAACCAAAAGTGAACAAATGCACCCCCATGGTCTCCAGGCCCCACCAGTGAAACACCTGGGATTTCTAGTGAGCCTCTGCTGCTATGGTCACCCTCTCAACCCAATCCAGGATGCAGAGTGGGGCTTATAACAGAGCCCTCCACAACCTTAGGACACCCTTGGCATTCAGATCCCATAATCAGGATGCCCTGGTCTATCACTCTGCCTTTTCTGCCACTTTCTTTGTTGGCAGCACTGCCACAAGCAGCTGACTTCCAGACTATTATTGCTGTTATTGTTGTCATCATTGTTCCTCCTCCTCCTCCTCCTCCCCCACCCCATTAATCTTGCAAAAGTGGTCCATCAAGCAGTGCCAGGAAGACCAAAGAGAATGTAGGAGGAATATCTGCTTTCCTGAGCCCAATAGTGGCATTCAAACCAACCCTGTCAGATACTATAGCTTTCCAGGGCTTCCTTCTCTGAACTATGGCTATTTTAAGCCACATTAAGCTACACTTGTAATGAATTTCATGCTATAAAGATGTTGTGGCTCTGAAGTTTGAGCCTGCTTTATTAGAGGACGAAGACTCGGACAATGAGGAAGAGGAGGATTTGGAACTGCCTTCCTCCTCAGGACCTTCCTCTTCGGCAATGCCTTCCTCCCTGATTGTGCTTCAGGTGTCGGCAGATAACCAGGAAGGCGTATCAGAGTCTCTGACTGAGGATCAAGTTGAGGAATGCTGGATTGATGCGAGGCAGCATCATAGGCAAAAGTGCGAGCTGCAACGCAGAAAGAAGGGACAAATCAGAGTCTGAACTGAGAGACTGACACGCTCCACGGGAAATAAAAGTGGGTTTGTTCGCTCTGGGAAGTTTGTTTGGGACAAAGCGTGAGTTTTTCTGTGGAGCTTTGGTGCAGTCTGTTTCCTGAAAGCCTTCGTGATTTATGTTGCTCTTATCTGGTCGGACTTGGCAGGCAGCGTGTGTGAGACTGCCAAGAACATTATCGGCTCAAAGGAGTTAACTCTATTAATTGCTGGATTTGCTTGCCTGTTTGTATTCAGTGGAAGTTTGGACTTTTCACCTCCTTTGTAAAGGTGTGACATAACATAAAGATCTTCCCAGAAAGTATCAATAGGTACTAAAATTAAGTTGGGACTGACATTTTTGCAAAAAAATGGACAGAACTGTGAGATCAGAGAAGCCATAGCAGCAGCAGTAGCAGTAGCAGCAGCACTGCCTTCCTTTCATCAAGAGAGCTTCTTGCATAAACTTCAAACTTTATCCCATTCTCAACCCTGAAAAAAATCACTGAAATCCCTTGTTTCACAGCTTCAGAAGGGAAGGTCACAGAAGGGCGGAGCTGGAGTCACGACAGTACGGCATGCAATCTTGAGGCTCCAAGATCGCCGCCGATATCTCTGCTGTTGGATGGTCCCATTGGACCTAAACCGTCCTGTAGAGACGGTGACAGAGAAGAGCACATCCTGTCAATCCCAGGGATACTGTATGCAAAGTCCCTGGTAGATCCAGGAGAAGCCCTTTTTGACAGCGGCGGAGAGGCAGCCATTTAAGCTGCTGAAGCTGGCATAGCTCTGGAACGGAAGAGATCGGGAAAGAAAGTGTATCAGTTTGGTGAGATTAATTTCTACTTATTATTTTTTGGAGAGAACACCCTAAAAGACTTAAAGTGAAATTAAAAGTGAGGACAAAAGAGGTTAAGCAGCAAGATTAAGCTAAATTTAAACTGAAGGGTTTTTCCCCTTTTTATTGGAATTTGGTTAAAGCTTCACAATTTTAAACTGGACTGGTCTTTTCCTCTAATTTTTTACTTTTTAAATAATCTCTTTGAAAGTCTCTTTTGATTAGGACTCTTCTTTTTTTTTTAGCTTTTTCACTTGAGGTTTACCTTTTTCATTTTCTTTCTAAAGACTTTACTTTTTTTATCTATTTCTGGCTTTGGATATACGAGGGGAAGTGAAAGTGAAGAGAAATAAGTAACACTGCCATTTAGAGGCTTGGATACATTGTTTTCTTTTCTACTTGTTTATACATTGGAGTTACATTCAAGGAGCTTTTTTCTGAGCATGGCAGATAGTTTATACATTTGCTCTTCTGTGAAACTATTGATAGCCAGTGTCTGGAGTTGAAGTTGAAAGAAGACTGAAGTGACCTTGAAAACAGAACTGGAAATTCTGATTTGATTTACCAAAGAGCCTTGGACATTTAAGTGGCAGTGGTTTGCTTCCAGTCAGAATTGTCTTTCATCCTTTTTTTTACTTCCCTTCCAACTGGATTTTTATGTTGGAATCTTAGCCTTTTCATCCAGGAAGTAGAATATATTTTTCTCCCTTTCCTTTTTTTTTGCTGTATCTTTTTTATTAAGATGAACACAGACTTCTATTTTTTAAAATTTCTTTTTTTTATTTTTTCACCCTCTCTTCCTTTTACATTTTTCTTCTTTTTTTATAACTGGAACCAATTGCATTAAGGTATACAAGTGCCTGAAAATTTTTCCTTTTTTATTTTTTCTCTTTTTATTTTTTATTGGGGTGGCAGTTGTCTGCCCTCTTATTCTTTCTTTTTTCATCAATTATTACAAGATGAATAGAAAAATAGGAGCCTCAGCTTCTTCAATACCAACATCTTCCTCGTCACCATCTGGAGGACAACGATCAATACAGATGATGTTACAACAGGAGAAGGAGAAGGAAGTGACACTGCAGATGATTATGCAAAGAATCTAAAATATACAAGCAAAAACAGACAACATTGAAAAGAGAACAGAGAATATAGAGCAAAGAACAGAAGACAGATGAGAAAGTTGAGAATATCCAACAGATGATGATGAAATATGAGGACAGATTCAAGAAAATTGAAGAACAAGATGTACAAAGAGATTTAAAAAATGGAGATATTGATACTCGATTGAGTTAAGTTGAGACAGGAGCAGATCTTTGGGATGGGAAATAGACAGGTCCAAATTTTGAGATTCCAAAACATAGAAGAAAAGAGTGAAAACCTTGCTGAAATAATGACAGAAATCCTGGCAGAAGCATTAGAGATAACCAAAGAGAAGATGATGGATGGAATGAAGTGTTCTGTGTCTATACAAGATATGCAATGAGATATGCAACTACCAAGAGAAGTGCACATTAGATTTACAAAGAAAACTATTAAAACACAGATACTGCAGGTGGTGAGAGAAAATGCTAAAGTATAAAGACAAAGAAATTGCGGTACTGAAACAAGTACCGAGAAAAGTGAGAGAGATGAGAAGAGAATACTTATTTCTGACTAAAGAGTTACTTAAGAGAGGAGTAAATTACAGATGGTTAATACCAGAAGATCTCATGTTCACCTTGCAGGAACAAAGACACAGAATTGACACAGTTGAAGAAGCTGAGCTATTCTATCTAGAATATTTTAGAGGAAAGGAGGAAGATACAAGAAAAGAAGAGTCGCTAATCGAATTTCAAGAGGAGTGTATAACAGCAATTGAAAAAGAAGGAGCAGTAGGTGGTGTACCCAGAGAGCAACGAGAACCAAGATCTACTAGAGCAACAAATCCTTCTTATAAAGTCTAAAATGGATGAGAGAAAATTGATTACGATTAATATAAATGGACTTAATTTAGCCACCAAAAGAAAATATTCCATAAATTAGAGAAATTAAAGTTTGACATAATCTGCCTACAAGAAGTACGTTTTAAAAAACAATATGAATAGATATTGAAGCAACAAAAATTAGGGAAATTATTCACATCATTGACACAATGTAAAAAAAGAGGTGTGGTCTTATACATTAGAGATACAAGTCCTGTGGAACAAATTTATACAGATGATGATGGAAGGATTTTGATGGTGGAGATAATGGACAATAATGTAAAAACACTTTTAATAGCAATCTATGCTCCAAATGATAACCAAGTATTCTACAGGAAATTACATATGAAAATAATTGAACTGGACTATGCTAATATTTGTATAATGGGAGATTTTAATGGAATAATTAGTGATAAATTGGACTATAAAACACAGAAAACAACCAAGAAAATTAGAAAGACATTGCCAAAATCCTTCTTCCAAATGGTAGAGGAAATTAACTTAAAAGATGCATGGAGAGAAAGAAATGTGGAAAATAAGCAATGTTCTTTTTATTCAAATAGACATGCATCATGGTCTAGAACAGATATGATATGGATGTCAACAGAATTACTTCCTAACATACAAGAAATCGAAATAGAAACAAGTACTTGGGCAGATCACAATCCAATGACTGTTATATGGAAAGGACAAAAAAGGAGATCTAGATGGACTTTAAATAATACGATATTAACGGAAAAAGACTTTAAATAGAAAATAGAGAGAATTGGTTTTCTTTTTTAAAGAAAATAAAAAAGAGGATTCATCTTTACAGAATCTCTGGGACACGATGAAGGCCTACACAAGAGGTTTGATAATAGAATATACAAGAAAAAGAAATATAAAACAGAAAAAAACTTTTAAAACACTGGAAGATGAATATAAGAGACTGGAAAAAGA